GTTGTGGTGACCCCCACCTTCATTGTTACAAATTGAACATAATTAAAGCACAGTGATTAATCACAAAAACAATAGGTAATTATATATGTGTTTTCCGATAGTCTTAGGCGACCCCTGTGAAAAGGTCATTCGACCCCCAAAGGGGTTGCGACCCACAGGTTGAGAACCAATGCTCTAGGAGCTTGAAATGTATTTAAGCAAGATAATAAATTTTTTTTTAACTCAGTAGCATACAGATGTTTTATACATGTGGTAGATAGACATGTCTTTATGTAGCCAGTACATTCCCATTGCAGAAAGTTTCAAAATATGGTTAAGTGCAAAATGGGGGTTAGAAAATATCAAGTGTTTTACTATACATTTACCTTAAATAATTTTATGCTTACACATAATACATGGGATGTCCATAAAAACAATATATGCAGATTGCCAAAATTTAGAAAATACAGAAATAATAATTTCACCATTCATTAATAATTGAGTACAGTATACTTCCTTTTAGTCACACGCAATTTTTAAAATACTTATTTTTATTATAAGTATTTTATAATAAATTTTATAGTATATTATAAATAAAATACATTTTATTATTTTTATTCTATTTATTGCTGGATTTATTATACACACTAAATGTATAATACTAGAGGCCCGGTGCACGAGATTTGTGCACTCAGGTGGTGGGGAATCCCTCAGCCCGGCCTGTACCCTCTCACAGTCCAGGAGCCCTCAGGGGATGTCCGACTGACAGCTTAGGCCTGTTTTGCTCCCCATGGGGAGCAGGCCTACGCCGTCAGTCAGACATCCTTAGCACTGCCGTGGAGGCAGGAAAGGCTCCTGCCACTGCCACTGCGCTTGCCAGCCTTGAGCTCAGCTTCTGGCTGAGTGGCGTTCCCCCTGTGGGAGCGCACTGACCACCAGGGGCAGCTCCTGTGTTGAGCATCTGCCCCCTTGTGGTCAGTGCACATCTTAGCAAACAGTTGTTTCACTGTTTGGTTGATTTGCATATTAGCCTTTTATTATATAGGATATATTTTCAGTTTTAAACCCTGGCTCCTTAGGACAGTCTGATTCTGAATGATGTCACACAACTTAGTCCCTTTGGATTCTTCATGGTGGGAGCTAGAGGATCATTGCCACAGGGCTAATAAGACATGAAGTGAATGGCCCAGCCAGGTCTCACAACATCCAGGGGAGGGGTGAGGGGCATATGACCAGGATCCTGATTTCATGTCTTTGTGAAGATTATAAACTCAACTTGGTGGGGAAGCCCAATGCTCTGAGATGCTGCCTTCACATAGACTTACTCCTATGTCACCACATACCAACTGGAAAACTATTTATTTTTTCCCCAAATAACTAATATTTATATGATGCTATATTTATTATTATTTTGATTTTCAGATCATTTTAGAAGCAATAACATTGGAGAAATATTTGCAAACCATATATCTGATAAGGGATTATTACCCAAAATGTAAAAGGGACTCAGACAACTCAACAGCAAAGTACTAATAATCCAATTTAAAAATGGGCAAAGGATCTGAATAGACATTTTTCCACAGAAAACATACAAATAGCCAACAGGCTTATGAAAAGGTGCTCAACATCACTAATCATCAGGGAAATGCAAATCAAAAACCACAACGCCTCACACCTGTTGGAATGATTATTATAAAAAAAGACAGGAGATAACTGTGACAAGGATGTAGAGAACAGATAACCCTTGTGCACTGATACAAGATCGTATCCACGGGACAAAAGACAGAGACAGTGAGAAACAGATAGAGATGCTCTCCTCTCCCCACGCCTTAAGGTTGGTGTTCTGGGTGGTTCTGCCCAACCTCCTCTTCTCAGTTCCCACTATGCCCTCTCCTTGGGTGCTCTCATCCCTGCCAGTCGCTACCACATATATGCTGGTGGCTCCCCAATCTATTTCTGCAGCCCAGCCTTCTCTTTCAGAGCGGCAGGCCTATGTACCCAACTGCCAAGTGGACCCAGATGTCACCTGAGCCCTCAAAGTCAACACGTCAAAACTGAATTCATCGTCTTTCTCTTCAACCTGAGCCTCTCTGGTAATCGGTGTCCTGATAAACAACATCACCATCCACTATGGCTTCCAGAAACCTCTCACCCTCAACATTAAACATCACATGGTACTCATCCTCTCCTATTCACTCAGAATCCTCTTCAACCCATGCCTGGAGCAACACGACCACTGTTCAGAACTGTGTGCACAGTGGAACCTGTTGCCCATTGGTCAAGACTTCCCTGCTGGTTTCTCTGACCTTTCTGGATCCTAAGAGATAGTTTCCTTCCCGCAGCCTCTCCAGCCTGCACACCCTCTGGGGAATATGTGTTAGTAAACCAAATGAAACCTTTTTTCCTGCAAAGCAGTTGAATGCAACACTAAGGTTGTTGCGGCCGAGGACTGGTGGTTTTCACACTTGTGAGTAGGAGGGGTGCATGAATGGCCCTCTGGTTGGAATGAAGCACAAAGGCCTAGTGTGAAGGCACATTTGCTTAGGGAGCACTGCATTTTTCTCCTGGTGTATTGGTTTGCAATGTCCCTGAGGGTAGGGCACGTCTCCAGCTGGGGGCGCTCTAAAGCTGCATTTGCAGACCAAGCACGCTGCTTATACACAGATGGTACAATTATTGGCCTATGTATAGAACAGGGTAGGCTAAGGCAAGAGTAAGCCAGCAGGTGCCTCCCGCCCAACACCCTCCTTACTCCCCCCCCGAACCACCCCCTCCCCACACACACACCCAAGACAGAGTCCAGGCAGGGAAGGATAGAGGACCAGAAGGCCAGAAAACACCAGCAGGCAAGTCTTGCCAACATGGCTGATGTCAGCTTAGAAGACATCTTTGTGGTCATAATGGGGTGAGCCAAAGTATTTCCTCAAATCTTTTCCAGCTACCCAAGTGAAAGATGAGAGTGAAACTAACTCTTCTCACACCACTTTCTGAGCCTCCAGGAGAAAAGTCTAATCTTTGGACAAGCCAAGCCCCAGTTTCATTTTCCAAAAAGTCTGAATGAAGCAAAAAAAATAAATAAATAAGTTCTGATAATGGTTATAGCATTGAGGTCTTCTGGGATACCAGTGCTTCCTCGGTATTCAAAAATCGAAGTAGTAGACCACTGACATGTGAACTGAACAAGGTTTAAGCAGTTACATGCAGAACAGCGCTCCTATTTAACCAACAACGGTTGCAATGACAGAGCAGTATATTATACAATGGAAAGCTAGTTTTAAAGAGTTGTACCCTTTAAAACCAGTTTGATGCATTTATACAGTATATCCCGAAGCTGTGTTCTTGTATGCTAAAGCTATACTTCTTAAGAGATAGAGAAAGAGTTTCTTTGCCAAGAGGGAGCTGTATTCCTGACCTCTCTTCTTTGGAGGGCTTTCAAAACTGTATTAGGTTTTTACACCAGTAAACTCTGAATAATTAGGCCAATTTCTTATGGTAATTTTATTTCATAAAATACTTCAACTTCCTGAGCAAAATTCATCTCTGATTCAATGAATTTTGTGATCCAATTCATAAAAGCACTTCAAAATGCAAGTAAAAATATCATCTGTGACAGAAATACATTGCTAGCTTTTTAGTTATTTGATTTTCACGGAATGAACCAAGTTATATTCACTGATGCGCTGGAAAGTGCCCAGACTAACTAAAAATAGTCAGGAAATTCTGAATAGGAAAAAAACCTTATTTCCATCTTTTTGAAGTTTGCTCCAACCATTATTACTAAAGTAGCGCTATGAATATGTAACCACAGATCTGCCACTAGGGCCAATTCCAAGGTGATGCCTTCAAGGCGGGAGTAAAAAATATGACTTTAAGATACAGGCCAGTGTTTGTTCCAATTACCCGGGGATTCCAGAAATTCTCAGACACTGAGGAGTAGCACGAAGTGTTTACCAGAGCCCTGCCAGCTGCATTTTGGGGGGAGCAGGAGGTACGTTCGATCACAATTGTGCTTCCCTTTGAAATCCACCACTCTCGTGTGTAATTCCAGAGAGTGGTCCACCATTCCAGAGTAATCCACCAACACTCCAGAGCATAACTGCAGAATGTAACCCACCACTTCAGGCTAACCACTCCCCATGGCCAGAGTGTGGCATCCCAGACCAAGAGGACATGCCTGCTGAGAATCTGGGACCTCCCCTCCCCAATACCTGCAGACCATTCCCTGAATACCCGAGGCTCCAGATTCCCTACCCAGAGAGTCCTGAGCCCATTTCCTGGACTTCATGGGTCTGTCCTTCTGAGTGTGACCATGCTGCTGGAGCGTGCCACCTCAGGGGCAGGGGTGGCCAATGGATTGCAGTTTGCCAGGATGGGTGACAGGCAGAGCATGTGGCTGAGGTGTCCACATCCACACCTAGGAGCACCCTTCAGCGAAGGGCAGACCAAGGGATGCACCAAGCCAGGGCTCAGGGGCCAGTTGCCTTCATGTTGCCTCTTTTCAAGTGGAACTTCAAGGAGTCTGAGAAATCCAAATCTGAAGGTGGTCTTCCAGATAATGATGAAAATACATTTGTCAGGATAGGAGAGAAAACATCGCATCTCATAGTTCGTTAGCTTATTGGATCAATTGTGAGTTTCTACACAAGTGATTGTGTGGATGTCCTTTTGAACTCCCTACATACCCCTCTCTGAGCATCCCCAGGCACCAACA